AAAGATGTTATAAAAGAATCCCTATCTTTTATAAGAATAAAGTACATTTCGTGGATACACTTTCACGAAGAACCTATTTCTGGGATACCGCAGTCCCATGTGGATCAGAAAACAGCCACAATGTAGTACAACTAAACCCTGATGAAAATAAATATTATCTTCTCACTCCATATCCCACATTAATGCAATCACTCAAAAAATTTTCACCAGAAAGCATTCGCGCTATTGCTCGAAACCCAAATATAGACTTACAATCAATAGGAATCTATTCAAAATCAGATATTCAACATCACATTAGAACACAACAATTCCAAGAATTATTAACACAAATGGACACTATACAAAGACAATCAATAGACCAAAATTTACGCAAACTTGCAGAAACCGCAGGATTTGCCGATATCTACACGCAAGACTATAGCGGATATTTTAAAGACATTAAAGATTATATATATCTAAACGGTGAAAAATACCGTCCCCAAGATATATCACCAATTAACATTTTTAGCTTTGTTACACTCAAAAATGAGATCCTCGATTTTCTAGGATGGCCCTACTACATCTTAGAAAAATTGACTATTTTATACGCAATGTTTAACTTTATTGGATTTCTTTTCTCACTCTTAAAAGGAATCTACAACACATGTGCTATACACACACAAGTAAACAGACAAGCAAGCGTAGCACGCATACTCTTTGCAGGATTTTTTGGAATCTTTTCTACATCTATAAACAAAATTCTTTTAGACGCACAAATAAAAGAATATAACACAAAAATAGCAACACGACAAAATACATACGACGAAGAACATAACAATGTAGACATAACGCCAACGGCACCACAATTACCACCCCTACCAAATAACCATCCACTATCCCTAGTCCCACGAAATTTTCGAAATTTAGCCATCACACATAATCCAAATTTTCGACTCACCACATCACAAAGTCCCATCCAACATATAATGACACACCAGTCACAAGATGATAATACTTATGAACAAATTATTGAACAACCCCATACCACCGCTTTTCAGTCTCAAAATAATCATTTTTTTAGCCCACGATGAGCCGCCAACTTGGATCACTACACCGATCAAATTCCCACCCAACCAATCTTACCTCTCCAATCCCAATAATACCACTTTTTGCTTTTCCGCCACCCGATTTTCCACCTAGTAATGTAACATCAGGCATGAATTCCGACACTAATTCACACATCTCAGTTTTATATTCCATCTCACAACTCAATAACCCGAATATTGAAACCCCCGATGAATTTGCCGACTCAGAACCATCCCCATCCAATAATTTTCATAACTCTTCTAATTTTTCGCAACCCCCTTTTCAACCCATATTATCCAATAACCCTGACCCAATCACTCCCACACCCTCTTATGCTTCCCAAGTTACCCCAACCTACTCCTCATACCATTCTGACCAATCATCTCATTCTCCAGACACCCCCCGAATCTCCCCAGAGCTAGATAATTTTATTACCCTTCAACAACAACCCTACCACCTTAATACCCCAACCATAAACCAAATCTCCTCCACAATAAATTCATCCAACCCCCCTACCCCTACACCCTCTTCAAATTATACTGAATCATTAGCACCATCATCCACATCAACTGAATCTTCACTCAACACTAATAGAGCTTACCGCACTTTTAAAAGAAAGTTCCCCAACCATCCTTTCCCAGCAAAACCAGGAACAGCCCGTGAATACATCAACCACCCCAAGCATACTAACACAAAAGAATTTTTAGCCATCACCTTACCCTCATTCCCACAATACACCTTAAACACCCCCCACGACACTAACGAAACACGCAACTTTGTAGATGAATACGTTTTAATGCCCACTCTCTCTTGGACCTCATATTATCATTTTACTAACCCTCTTTGCTTACCTTTATCTAACACTCACATCGATATAGAGCGAAATACGGACATGCTATATCGACTCACTACACCACTAACCGCTAGACAATTTACTTACGTTGGATATAAAAAATCACTAAAAACACACACTGCACCTAGAGCTAACGAATATACACTCGAATACTATGATCACAACATCATCAGAGCTAACCAAGATCAATTCTTAGACGACGATCGCTTCGCTAATCCACAAATTACCGAGAAATTTTTCATCAAGACACCATATATATTTACACTAAACATCTTCGACCGAAAGTTTGATCACATTATTTCAGAAGCACTAACAGACACACAAGCATACGAAAGTTTTATAGAACGCTTCCAAATATTTTCACTAACCTTTCATTTCCTTGCACCACACGAAAGAGATTTACACTGCTCACACGATATTATGTTGCGCACTAAACAAACCCACACATATAGTTATTATCGCTTCATCCAAAATCACTTTGACCTACACACACCCTCTAGACAACCACACCATCGTTTTCAATTCATTAATTCCAAATACACTTCACCATTTTTCCTAAATTTCACATATTGCATTAAAGATACTAACCTTCATGGTATTCTTCGCAATTATGATCCCATAACCCAAATGTACATCTTCTGTCCCATCACCAAGACCTTCAACGCCGAAGAATCCCGACCCTTCCTTATCCCGCACGAGTTTGTACAACCTATAGAAATCCCAATTTTAGAATTCATCCACAACACTAAATTCAATCACAAATTATATAATCTAATCCAAAACACACCTTATGAGTTTGCAGTTGGCACTGAAGAACTAACCACTATTAAGGCACTTCAATTGCTTTGGCCACTGCTTCAGACTAAAAATATCATCCGCATCTTAGCTAAACTACTAACAACTTCAGAACTAATTCACGACATCTTCCCCCACGGTTTTTTCCCCGACGACTAACAGGTAAGTATGAATTAAATGAATATTACTAACTAATTAAAATATTAAAAACTCACCATTCTTTATCCATGTTTTCTTTAGATTTTTAGCCTTCATCCGACAATCACCTACAAAAACCACAAAAGACAAATAAAAATCGCAAATTTCATCAAACAGATTTCAAAAATTCTATTAATCTCTTACACTTATAAATTTATAAATTTAATACCAATGCAATAAATTCATTTCTAAAAATTTCCCCACAAGCAGTAAATCTAATTATGATGAAAATTTGTAACTTAAAATTCCCCCATAACTAGCAGTAAATTTCCAAATTCCATGCAGTAAATTAATAAAATGCAAATGCAGTACTAACCTTTTGATATTCTCATTTATTCGCACAGAAATTCTATCCACACTCGCACAGCTCGCCCACGAAGAATTGTTTAAAATAATGAATTTCAGTTTCAAGTTTTCACACTCAACAACTCTAACATATAATAACATGTTTCAAACTTTCCTTTAACCCGGTTGGAAAGGAATCATATACTAAACAAAACTAACCAACGCAGCTTACTAAATACCACAAATCATAGAATAACAGCATGACTAAGAAAAGGAAACCAACGGTACCCAAACCGGATTAACCCAGTTTAAAACTGGATAATTTATTCTTTTGAAGACTATTATAAAGTCTAAGAAAGAAATAATAAAACACAAAAAAGTCGAAAGACAAACCCATACCACGAACAATTTACTTTTTGGAAAAAGGACATAACCAACAAGACATAAGAAAAACCACAACAAACCCAACATAAAACGTTGTCACATAACAGGACCCCTCACAAAAACCGCATGAAATCATACTCCCACTCCTGGCCTAACCCACCAGGAAGGACGTCCTGAGCATGCTCTATAGCCGGCCTAACCCACCGCGCTACATCCACGCTTTGTGACCACACCTCTATTTTTAATAAGAGCTACTCAAGGGTGAGTAACTCTTCAAAATAACCGAACTAAAACAAAAAGCTTTTGTGAAAACAACTAACTAAAATCATAATTAAAAAAATATTAAACTAATAAATGTTTTATAAAATGTAAATTACATTATGCAATACATAGATCAGAATACAACACCAAGGACGAACATCTAAAGACAAAACGACCCCACTACACTCGAGAGAGAATGACCAACCACAATCGATATGCCACTCACAATCACAACTCAAAGGATTTAGAGTACGACTTGACTTCGCAGAAAAGGACTTCATTGAACTAGACCAATGACCACCTCGATGTTCAAGTATACGTACAGATCCGAGTAACCAGGCATCCCCTCCACGCACAATCTCCACGCCATTCCCAAACTAGATCAGACACAAAAGAAGTTCTCCACGCAGAACAGAAAAACCTGACATAGCAAACCATTCTGAAATCAGATTTGAGTTTATTGCAAAGACTTAGTCGTTGTCACTAGAAGACACAACGTCTTATGTCTCTAACTCCAGCTTCCTGGAACTTCTTTAACAAAAAGGAAACAGAAGAAATAAGATGTTCGCCAAACACCAACTTCCATCATCCATCCTTCGAATTGCAGAAGAACTATTCTAAAAAACTCTGTAAAACCCGGATGGGTGGAACCTGATCTAAACTACATTTTATGATTGGATAAATTAGATATTTTACCAATGTAAAGTATTTAATATTAACCAATCATGATCCATCTAACTAACAACCCACTTATTTGTAAGTGCTGAAGTTACTTGTAATTTCAGCACCAGAGAGATTTGAATTTAACTTAGAAATTAGTTGGACTCTCCCGAGCACTTCAACAACCGCAATAGACCAGTATACCCTAGATCTATTGAGCCTAGCAGAGACTAGTTAAACAACCTGAGACTAGATAGTATAAGAGTAAGATTAGGATCGGTATTAGACTAAGAAGTTGCACGAATCTATCCGGCCGAAAATAAGATAGCGTGACGAGCAGACGGTGTACCCTATCCGAAATTACTCTATGAGTTAACCAACTCGGTCCTAACTCATTTTTCCGAAATATTTCAGGCAAATAAAGTTTTCTTCGGGCACCGAGCCATCAAAGCTGTGCTGCAGTGAGAAACTCTAGACTGATGAGTAAAAAAGAACTAACTTTCAATTTGTTATAGACAGCCATCAGTTGCGCATTCTGTCTGAGGGAACTCTTCAGATTCTTCGCTTTTCCTCCGTCTATCCCGTCTCTTAGGTGGACATAGGTGGACCTCAGACCCTGGTTGTTGAGCAGATCCCAGGCTTGGTAGAGAAAATGGCCCAAGTAGAAACACTGTGACATCGTCTGAAATTTGCAAAACAATCTTAGATATATCCTTTAAAGACAACGACATGTTGTGATTACCTAAATTGGATCTCGTTATCTACCTTCTCGTATTGCAAAAGATGAGGATTCAAAACTAAGTACAACAAATTCGCGGAATGCGGTAAAAAATGAAAGCGGTTACTGGAGAGCATTCAAATCTACCAAATAAGTTTTTTTAAACTCAAACAAATCTCATTATTCATGACAGGATGTAGATCAGCGGTAGATCGTCTGCTGTGCATGCGGAAGGCCTGGGGTTCGACCCCCACATCTCAACACTTTTATACGTAATTTATTTAATAAATCTATCTTTACATAATTCCAGTTTTTTTTTTCTAGTTCATTGGTCTGTCTTAAATCCGCTATAGATTACAATGTCAAATTATAATTTAATTTCTATATCTATTTTTTTACGGCTTTTCCCGACCTCCACCCCCCAAAAAAAATGAATTTCAATTTTGGAAAACTCTTAACATTCTCATAATGCGTTGTCTGTAGTTTTATTGTTAAAAACTATGAGCTAGTTTTTTAAAGTTACTAGTTAGCATTCAAATCAATCAAACATGCTTTTTTCATGCTGTCATTGCAGTTAGTTCAATAAACAAGAACGCTCGTTCAGAGCAAAACACTTAAGGTCCTGACTGCAGGACTTACAGGTCCTGCTGTCTCAAAAGTTTTTGCTATCAGGTCTAAACCAAAAAAACTCCTCTTTTAATAATAGAGATGTCAACTTCTTTACGTTTCTTCGGCAGTTTACACTTTTTTGATCGAGAAACTCTTGAGCAATGTCGAAATGACGAAAAGTCATATATTTTAGAAAACAAGTTATGATTTAAAAAACAACTATGAGCTCGTTCTTTTCAATTAATGGAGATCATTCAAACCTACCAAAACGTGCTTTTTTGTCAAGCAGTTTAGTAGAAAAAACAAGAACGCTCGTACAAAATAATTAAGGTCGGGGCTTTTGGTTTTGCTGATTGTTTTTATCTTAAATTTGAAAACATAGCCTACAGAAAGTCGGAAAAGGTCGATGAACTCAAGGGAACCTAAACAAATCAAATTAGAAATAAATCACTTTATAGCTTTTTGAACTTCCAGACTTCGTTATAAATGACCATTTGTTCATAGAAACTAACCCAGCTAAAAAAAATTACGCCAGTAGTTATTTTATTTACTCCCGCTGGAATATCTGAACAAAGCCCACATTCGAAAACAAAAATTATTCAAGTTTCTACGCACCATTCCCAATTTAGTAATTGAATAACGCACTTGCCCTTCTTTTGGCAAATGAATTTGAATTGAGCTTGAAAAGAAATCAAAAGTCAAATCACTAAAAAAATTCAACGCGAGTTTGATCAATTTTCAAAACGTTTAGATGTAAAAATGAACACGACTTAACTACGTGTTTTCATTTCGCGCATTGACACTGAGAAAGAGAAAACGTTTGATTAAAAATGTAAGAATCAAAGTGGTACATTAGCATAGATAGCAAATGAAGCGCTCAGCAATGTGTTGAGATCGCCAGATCTTGTATTCGACTCACTGCTGGGGCATTAATGGTTTGCAAGGACAAGCGTTCAAATATTCTCCTGCTTCAGATCTGCCACAGCCTGAACGACCGTTTTCGGCTTCAAGAGTGATGGTACCACACAGAAAAAAGATATGTAAAAAAGCCTTTCAGTCGCAAAAAATAGCGTCTCTCAACAAAATAACCCGAAATAACCTTAATTGTTGAAATATTAGAATTGGTCTTTTAGATTTAGACGGACACAGTTCATCTGCAATTTAGGTAAGTAGATGGTCTAATTCCAGAGTAATGCCTCCATTCGTGTATCTGAATTCCGTTCAAAAAGCCAGAGCATCAACAAAAAGTGCAAATTAAACAATTGTTCAAAAACTGATCAAAAATAAAGAGTTTTTTTTTCCACAAATGAGAACTATTAATGAAATGAGCGTGTTACATTAGAACATTGGGTTATTGAGACCTGGTATGACACTGATACGACGCAACTTTAAGTAAATTAATAAGTGTTGCGGTTATCAAAGCAAAATTCAAGAAAGAGGCAAATCGATCAAAAAGAAAAAAATGCATTCAGAATTTGGAAAAAAAATTGCAAACTCAATTTTTTGAAAAACTAACCAGAAAAAATACTCGAAAAAAGGATATCTACAAAAATTTCATACCTTGGTCTCGGATGAGGCTCATATACAGCCTTACCAAGCATCGAGAATCATAAGACCGAGCGGCAAATAAGGCAAAAAAACTTGTGTAGACCCTCGTTAAGCCGAAAACGAAACTAGGTCATAGAAAATTTAGAGCTTATGTAATTTTTAAAATCAAAATTAATACGACGCATTCCTCATAAAATAGGAAAAAACTAATTTGAACCGCTTAACCGAAAAAGTTATACGCAGAGGTGAAGCGAAGCTTTGCAACACTTGCTATAAATCGGGGAAAAAATCGAAAAAACCATAAAAGTAGTCGAAAAAATTCGGCACTGCCAAAAAACTAGATGTTTCAAAGCAAGTAAAGCTAGTTGAGGAAAAAACAGATTTTAAAATAAGCATCGGAAGAAAACTTACCAAGCGGTAAAAAAAAGTCGAAATTACCTGGGCAGAAACCATTTTAGCCGAAAAAACTAGCCGAAATTATCTGAAGAGTATCAACTGATGATGTATACTTGCCTAATGCACACCCTAGAATAGACTACCTAATAAACGCATCAATTAGCCACCTTTATTTGATTTCCTCTGCTCATGGCTTGGCCTGGCAGCATAAATTTAAAAAAATACTATATAAACTAATCAGAATCGAGATAAGAGAACAAACGTGCAAAATAAAACATACATTTAGACAGAGGCGAAGCTGCGCTTCGTAAACACTTGCAAGAACACGACCACAAACAGCTATATCAAATACAATAAGAAAAAGTAGAACTCAACCTAGAATAAGCAAAAACTCGGCTACGTGTAGGATTCGAATCTGCGACCTACTGCAATCAAGAGATTTTGAGTCTCACGCACTATCTACTCGGCCACGCAAGCTTAAGAACCGACAAACACTAGCCATGAAAAAAGCAGCTATATATGCTATCGAATTGCTAATGTTATGCAGCAAAAGTGGCACCAAACTCAAATAGACTCAATTTTTGCAAGTAATAATTTGAAATATAACAAACTGAAGTCATCTACACTAACTTTGCATGCCACAAATCGCAAAGCATTAAGCCATATTATGTATAAATTATGCAATTCAAAAAATTGCAAGATATATTGGGTTAGAAACTGTCTGAAATCGAGTTTTCATTCTTGTTATGTTGTTTGAAACAAATCACTTTTTTCGGTTCATGAATTAAAAATGCATCAACTGTGATAACTTATTATTATTCGAATGTCAAAGAACATGCTACGAAAAAGCTTTATAGGTGCCCCAGAAGTGGCACCAATGTTTGCGACTTAGGTTGGAAAAAAAGAAGGCTCGCATTAATACACTCGCTTCGCAAGTGTTTAAATGTGAATATTTGTATACATCAATTATTCCAAATGGACCAAAATGGCGATTTTCAGGTCCCCACAATTTCGTGGAAAATTACCTCAGTTAGAATTTCAATTTCATTTTGAGCTCATGGAATCAATATCTTTCAGTTTGTATAGATAAACTTTGATAGAAAAAAGTCACCCCAAACACAAACACTCCGTCACTGCCTTCGACTCAAAAGTCGGAACACTTTTGGCAGTTTTTTTATTCGGATGATTTGATTTGGAAACAATTAATTATTTATTATTTGTATACGACTACTCTGATTATTACAATACACAACCAATTAAAATGAACAGAACTTAAACTACTGACTGAGTTTGAGGTGTGTTGCTGCGCCTGCTTCTGTTGAAATTTGACCCATGCCGCCCTCAGTTCAAATCGAGACAATTGCTCTGCATTCTTGTTCCATAGTACCCCCGAGTGACGCAATTTGCCCACCAAAGGCATCAAAATCTACAACAGAATCTGACCTAAGCTCAGAATTCCTTCAAAAACGACTTCCTCACTTAAGCAAAAACCAATATGCCTCAATTCTTGTGAAAAACCCCGTTATTAGTTTTACACTACACGAAGTGCATTGCCATACAAAAAATATATTCAGAGCAAGCCTTGTAACTTACCGTGTGAAGAAATTGATTTCTGATCTCTAAAATCGGTCCTGTCAACTGAACCACGTGAGTTTTCACGCTCCTGTCGTGACAGTATTGTGCTAATTGCTGTTCAGTCCTCGCCTCTACACGTGAAATCTTCAGGTTTTCCACCACCTCTTGAACACTTTTCGCGTCACTTCCCGGAGTTGCAGTCAGGGCGACTATTCTGAACTGGGAATTGTATTCTGAGATTTTGGACACGACCTTGAAACAAATCAGAGCTCGACCTGGCCTCGAGTTTGTACACGGCTCTTAATCAAAGCTTGAAAATTTGAGCAATTTGCAATTCGAGTAATCTTTGGTGAATTGTGAGAAATACTAAAATATGATTTTTGAAGTCTGTAACTATGTCATGGGAAGGGATCCCATTCTAGAATTTTCTTCATTGTAGGGGTGTTCAGATTTGTTGATTTCTTAAGATTAACCAAACTGATTTCCCTGGTTTAAAGGAAACACTATAAAGACCTCATCTTTCCATCAAAAACATCTAACCGATTGATTTAAAAGTCAGAAACTGAAATTGTTCATATTACTCCTGAACAAAAACGATGAAATTTTAACCAGTACCGCGGCAATTAGCGTAAAAACAATTCGCTTGAGAGATTTATATGTAATTCTGTTAAGGGACAACTCGCGGAAAAACCAAATAGGCAACAAATGGAAGGAAACAAACAGCTTTATTTTAACAATCATTTTGTGCATGAACGTTCCCTGAAATTCTCCATACTGAGTCACTCATCTAATAAGTAAAGGCCACAGCTGAGGGGTTCAGGAATGGTCTTATCCGCTTCTCACCTGACAGTAAGCGTAGTTGCCTTTGGCCTTGTGGGCCTCGTCAATCATGAGCAGCCTGATTGTGTTGGGGTCAACCACAAGACGGGAGAGGTCATTGGCCATAGTCTGTGGGGTCAGGAACATCAGACACTTGTCACTCCACAACTGCTCACGTTTCTTGGGGTTCATGGCTCCTGCAAATTATAAATTAGCTTAAAAAAATGACTTCACTGAACTATTTAGAATCTAGGGACACATCAAAACAGGGAGGGAGATCCTAATGTTAATGTTGCCCAGGCGTGCACGACACAAACATTGAGAAATCTTATCTATATATTTCAGCAGATCAATTTCGTATGATCAAAATTCAACACCCTGTCAACGCCCGTGTGGCCTAATGGATAAGGCGTCTGGCTCCTAACCAGAAGATTGCGAGTTCGAGTCTCGCCCCGGGTATATTTTAAATAATTTTTACTAAAAACGTCGGACTTAATTAACTTCCGAAAAAACTGTTTTAAATCAACTACATCAGTCTATTTAGCGGCAACTAATCAACTTAAAGAAAAAAAAATGATACTATTTTATGATTTTCAACAACTTAACCCCAACCCACCACACACATAAGTTTTATGTAGAAATCAGTGGTTTTGCAAGGTTAAGTAGATATATGAAGAGCATATCTGTTTCAAATTTCACAAAAAAGTGGGTGCGTTACCGATGGTAACAATTTCATAACTGAGATGTACTGCACTTGCGTTATTATTGTAACAGGCCAGTCTGTTTTTATTGGGCTAATTAAGACGGAATTGAAATGTCGGTCTTTCAAATCAGGTGGCAGACAGTACAGATCCAAATACAACAGTGCCGAAATACAATAGGGCTATTTATCCAAATTGATCTGTTTCAAACCCAAATAAATCAAATACTCAATAACTGGGGATGTAGCTCAGTGGTAGAGCGTCCGCTTTGCATGCGTAAGGTCTGGGGTTCGATCCCCCACATCTCCATTCTTTTGCCAGTAACTTAGTATAAATTTTACTTACTATTTCCGATTTTTATTTTCTAATATAATTAATTTTAGTTGGAGTGGCGGGCTCTTTTTACTCCCCCCCCCCCCAACTGCAAACATTTACAAGTAAGTTTGCTGACCACATTGTCCGATTGTTATAAAAATTGACATATAGACTAATTAGGCCAAAACAAACATATTTGGTCTTCATAATCAACCTCGTAAAACCACTCGTTACACTAAAAAGTTGAAGCTCGTCTGAGGTGGCGGGGAAAAGGAAAAAGAGCCGAGTGGTGATACAACGATACAAGTATGGGCTCTTTTCCAGTCCTCCTTTCAAGTTCAATTATGAAAAGTCTGTTTAACGGTGGCCAGTCAATAAGCAGAATGGTCCAAGTTTACTTGGTTTGGTATTTTTTGACGATTCTAATAATTATTTGATCAATTAGCCAACCCGTATAAACCAATATAAGTCAATGTTTTTCTGCTCTTGGACCCATTCTGCACTTGGAACATTCTGCTTATTGCCCCGCCTACTGGTGGCCAGTCAATAAGCAGAATGGTCTAAGAGCAGAAAAGGTCCAAGAGCAGAAAAACAGAAAAATATCAACTTTTATAAGCTAATCGGTAAATTAATTATCAGAAATGTCATTAATACCAAATTTGACCGATTTGTTCTTCATATTTTACAGCGTAACATTACGCATTTGGTCGTAATAACACGTAAAACAAACATAAAACTCGGTATTTTGAAAGGGGGGACTGGAAAAGAGCCCAAGTATGATAGCTTGTCGCTGAGGAAAAGCATGTATGGGCCCCGAATTTTTTGAAAAGGTAAAGGATAATTAAAATGAGGGCGAAATTTAAAACATAGCCAACTGACAAGAGTTACGAAAAATCACGAGGAACTATATAAGAGTCATCACTACATTCATTACTCTAAATAACGGGGATAAAATGGAAGCTCGGTCTCTATAGCTAACTTTAAATTATAAATCAACTGTTTCCTCTTGTAAACAAACTTATTAATTTATTAAAGAGGTGCAATTGGTACATATTGGTATTGAACCCAGTAAAACGCAGTTAAGCAATATTTGTCTATAATTTTGCTTTCCAATGCTATATAAAAGCGATTAAGTCAACTTGCTTTTTCCGAAATAATTCAGGTAAATAAAGTTTCTTCGGGCACCGAGCCATCAAAGCTGTGCTGCAGTGAGAACTCTAGACTGATAAAAAAGAACTTACTTTCAATTTGTAATAGACTGCCATCAGTTGCGCATTCTGTCTGAAGGAAGTCTTCAGATTCTTCGCTTTTCCTCCGTCTATCCCGTCTCTTAGGTGGACATAGGTGGACCTCAGACCCTGGTTGTTGAGCAGATCCCAGGCTTGGTAGAGAAAATGGCCCACGTAGAAACACTGTGACATCGTCTGAAATTTGCAAAACAATCTTAGATATATCCTTTAAAGACAACGACATGTTGTGATTACCTAAATTGGATCTCGTTATCTACCTTCTCGTATTGCAAAAGATGAGGATTCAAAACTAAGTACAACAAATTCGCGGAATGCGGTAAAAAAATGAAAGCGGTTACTGGAGAGCATTCAAATCTACCAAATAAGTTTTTTTAAACTCAAACAAATCTCATTATTCATGACAGGATGTAGATCAGCGGTAGAGCGTCAGCTGTGCATGCGGAAGGCCTGGGGTTCGAACCCCACATCTCAACACTTCTACGTAATATATTTATTAAATCTAAGTTACATAATTTCAGTATTTTTCGCCAATTACATTGGTCTGTCCTAAATCCGCTATTGATTACAATGTCAAATTACAATTTAATTTCTATATTTATATTGTTTTACGGCTTTTCCCGACCTCCGCCTCCCAAAAAAAATGAATTTCAATTTTGGAAAACTCTTAACATTCTCATAATGCGTTGTCTGTAGTTTTATTGTTAAAAACTATGAGCTAGTTTTTTAAAGTTACTAGTTAGCATTCAAATCAATCAAACATGCTTTTTTCATGCTGTCATTGCAGTTTGTTCAATAAACAAGAACGCTCGTTCAGAGCAAAACACTTAAGGTCCTGACTGCAGGACTTACAGGTCCTGCTGTCTCAAAAGTTTTTACTATGAGGTCTAAACCAAAAAAAACTCCTATTTTAATAATAGAGATGTCAACTTCTTTACGTTTCTTCGGCAGTTTACACTTTTTTGATTGAGAAACTCTTGAGCAATGTCGAAATGCCGAAAAGTCATATATTTTAGAAAACAAGTTATGATTTAAAAAACAACTATGAGCTCGTTCTTTTCAATTAATGGAGATCATTCAAACCTACCAAAACGTGCTTTTTTGTCAAGCAGTTTAGTAGAGAAAACAAGAACACTCGTACAGAGCAAAATAATTAATGTCGGGGTTTTTGGTTTTGCTGATTGTTTTTATCTTAAATTTGAAAACATAGCCTACAGAAAGTTGGAAAAGGTCGATGAACTCAAGGGAACCTAAACAAATCAAATTAGAAATAAATCACTTTATAGCTCTTTGAACTTCCAGACTTCGTTATAAATGACCATTTGTTCATAGAAACTAACCCAGCAAAAAAAATTACGCCAATAGTTATTTTATTTACTCCCGCTGGAATATCTGAACAAAGCCCACATTCGAAAACAAAAATTATTCAAGTTTCTACGCACCATTCCCAATGTAGTAATTGAATAACGCACTTGCCCTTCTTTTGGCAAATGAACTTGAATTGAGCTTGAAAAGAAATCAAAAGTCAAATCACAAAAAAAAATTCAACGCGAGTTTGATCAATTTTCAAAACGTTTAGATGAAAAAATGAACACGACTTAACTACGTGTTTTCATTTCGCGCATTGACACTGAGAAAGAGAAAACGTTTGATTAAAAATGTAAGAATCAAAGTGGTATATTAGCATAGCTACCAAATGAAGCGCTCAGCAATGTGTTGAGATCGCCAGATCTTGTATTCGACTCACTGCTGGGGCATTAATGGTTTGCAAGGACAAGCGTTCAAATATTCTCCTGCTTCAGATCTGCCACAGCCTGAACGACCGTTTTCGGCTTCAAGAGTGATGGTACCACACAGAAAAAAGATATGTAAAAAAGCCTTTCAGTCGCAAAAAATAGCGTCTCTCAACAAAATAACCCGAAATAACCTTAATTGTTGAAATATTAGAATTGGTCTTTTAGATTTAGACGGACACAGTTCATCTGCAATTTAGGTAAGTAGATGGTCTAATTCCAGAGTAATGCCTCCATTCGTGTATCTGAATTCCGTTCAAAAAGCCAGAGCATCAACAAAAAGTGCAAATTAAACAATTGTTCAAAAACTGATCAAAAATAAAGAATTTTTTTTCCACAAATGAGAACTATTAATGAAATGAGCGTGTTACATTAGAACATTGGGTTATTGAGACCTGGAATGACACTGATACGACGCAACTTTAAGTAAATTAATAAGTGTTGCGGTTATCAAAGCAAAATTCAAGAAAGAGGCAAATCGATCAAAAAGAAAAAAATGCATTCAGAATTTGGAAAAAAAATTGCAAACTCAATTTTTTGAAAAACTAACCAGAACAAATACTCGAAAAAAGGATATCTACAAAAATTTCATACCTTGGTCTCGGATGAGGCTCATATACAGCCTTACCAAGCATTGAGAATCATAAGACCGAGCGGCAAATAAGGCAAAAAAACTTGTGTAGACCCTCGTTAAGCCGAAAACGAAACTAGGTCATAGAAAATTTGGAGCTTATGTAATTTTTAAAATCAAAATTAATACGACGCATTCCTCATAAAATAGGAAAAAACTCATTTGAACCGCTTAACCGAAAAAATTATACGCAGAGGTGAAGCGAAGCTTTGCAACACTTGCTATAAATCGGGGAAAAAATCGAAAAAACCATAAAAGTAGTCGAAAAAATTCGGCACTGCCAAAAAACTAGATGTTTCAAAGCAAGTAAAGCTAGTTGAGGAAAAAACAGATTTTAAAATAAGCATCGGAAGAAAACTTACCAAGCGGTAAAAAAAAGTCGAAATTACCTGGGCAGAAACCATTTTAGCCGAAAAAACTAGCCGAAATTATCTGAAGAGTATCAACTGATGATGTATACTTGCCTAATGCACACCATAGAATAGACTCCCTAATAAACGCATCAATTAGCCACCTTTATTTGATTTCCTCTGCTCATGGCTTGGCCTGGCAGCATAAATTTAAAAAAATACTATATAAACTAATCAGAATCGAGATAAGAGAACAAACGTGTAAAATAAAACATACATTTAGACAGAGGCGAAGCTGCGCTTCGTAAACACTTGCAAGAACACGACCACAAACAGCTATATCAAATACAATAAGAAAAAGTAGAACTCAACCTAGAATAAGCAAAAACTCGGCTACGTGTAGGATTCGAATCTGCGACCTACTGCAATCAAGAGATTTTGAGTCTCACGCACTATCTACTCGGCCACGCAAGCTTAAGAACCGACAAACACTAGCCATGAAAAAAGCAGCTATATATGCTATCGAATTGCTAATGTTATGCAGCAAAAGTGGCACCAAACTCAAATAGACTCAATTTTTGCAAGTAATAATTTGAAATATAACAAACTGAAGTCATCTACACTAACTTTGCATGCCACAAATCGCAAAGCATTAAGCCATATTATGTATAAATTATGCAATTCAAAAAATTGCAAGATATATTGGGTTAGAAACTGTCTGAAATCGAGTTTTCATTCTTGTTATGTTGTTTGAAACAAATCACTTTTTTCGGTTCATGAATTAAAAATGCATCAACTGTGATAACTTATTATTATTCGAATGTCAAAGAACATGCTACGAAAAAGCTTTATAGGTGCCCCAGAAGTGGCACCAATGTTTGCGACTTAGGTTGGAAAAAAAGAAGGCTCGCATTAATACACTCGCTTCGCAAGTGTTTAAATGTGAATATTTGTATTCATCAATTATTCCAAATGGACCAAAATGGCGATTTTCAGGTCCCCACAATTTCGTGGAAAATTACCTCAGTTAGAATTTCAATTTCATTTTGAGCTCATGGAATCAATATCTTTCAGTTTGTATAGATAAACTTTGATAGAAAAAAGTCACCCCAAACACAAACACTCCGTCACTGCCTTCGACTCAAAAGTCGGAACACATCTGCGGAACACTTTTGGCAGTTTTTTTATTCGGATGATTTGATTGGGAAACAATTAATTATTTATTATTTGTATACGACTACTCTGATTATTACAATACACAACCAATTAAAATGAACAGAACTTAAACTACTGACTGAGTTTGAGGTGTGTTGCTGCGCCTGCTTCTGTTGAAATTTGACCCATGCCGCCCTCAGTTCAAATCGAGACAATTGCTCTGCATTCTTGTTCCATAGTACCCCCGAGTGACGCAATTTGCCCACCAAAGGCATCAAAATCTACAACAGAATCTGACCTAAGCTCAGAATTCCTTCAAAAACGACTTCCTCACTTAAGCAAAAACCAATATGCCTCAATTCTTGTGAAAAACCCCGTTATTAGTTTTACACTACACGAAGTGCATTGCCATACAAAAAATGTATTCAGAGCAAGCCTTGTAAGTTACCGTGTGAAGAAATTGATTTCTGATCTCTAAAATCGGTCCTGTCAACTGAACCACGTGAGTTTTCACGCTCCTGTCGTGACAGTATTGTGCTAATTGCTGTTCAGTCCTCGCCTCTACACGTGAAATCTTCAGGTTTTCCACCACCTCTTGAACACTTTTCGCGTCACTTCCCGGAGTTGCAGTCAGGGCGACTATTCTGAACTGGGAATTGTATTCTGAGATTTTGGACACGACCTTGAAACAAATCAGAGCTCGACCTGGCCTCGAGTTTGTACACGGCTCTTAATCAAAGCTTGAAAATTTGAGCAATTTGCAATTCGAGTAATCTTTGGTGAATTGTGAGAAATACTAAAATATGATTTTTGAAGTCTGTAACTATGTCATGGGAAGGGATCCCATTCTAGAATTTTCTTCATTGTAGGGGTGTTCAGATTTGTTGATTTCTTAAGATTAACCAAACTGATTTCCCTGGTTTAAAGGAAACACTATAAAGACCTCATCTTTCCATCAAAAACATCTAACCGATTGATTTAAAAGTCAGAAACTGAAATTGTTCATATTACTCCTGAACAAAAACGATGAAATTTTAACCAGTACCGCGGCAATTAGCGTAAAAACAATTCGCTTGAGAGATTTATATGTAATTCTGTTAAGGGACAACTCGCGGAAAAACCAAATAGGCAACAAATGGAAGGAAACAAACAGCTTTATTTTAACAATCATTTTGTGCATGAACGTTCCCTGAAACTCTCCATACTGAGTCACTCATCTAATAAGTAAAGGCCACAGCTGAGGGGTTCAGGAATGGTCTTATCCGCTTCTCACCTGACAGTAAGCGTAGTTGCCTTTGGCCTTGTGGGCCTCGTCAATCATGAGCAGCCTGATTGTGTTGGGGTCAACCACAAGACGGGAGAGGTCATTGGCCATAGTCTGTGGGGTCAGGAACATCAGACACTTGTCACTCCACAACTGCTCACGTTTCTTGGGGTTCATGGCTCCTGCAAATTATAAATTAGCTTAAAAAAACGACTTCACTGAACTATTTAGAATCTGCATATTTATGGAAATAGATTCAATTTTAGAAAACAAAAATGAAAGTTTTGAATAAAAAAATACAGTCTTGTGGCACGTAAGAATTTTATAATTATCAGCAAATTGAAGGTTGTCGAATGACATAAATGCTTGAAAAATATTTCATAGTAAGCTCGTGAAAGTTCTCAATATCATTTTTCTTTTCAAATCACGTATTAATTTACCTAGCAGGACTTTTGGATCTTTATATCTACTTCTACCCAGAGGCAGAACTCTTTAAGTGAAACGGGGTGAAATTATTTATAAGATACAATATTTGCGTATATTCCACCACTGAATTAGTCGGTCTTATAAATGAGTAAATATTTTTACCGATGATCAATGGGTGGATAGTGACCAGACGTAGATGCTTTAAGATAACTGCAAACTGAATTACAAAATTAATTGGAGCTCTTTGGAAGCTAATATGTTCTGATTAAAAACTTTAATTCAAGTGTCTACAGAAAAATAGGCAAACAAACAAACCAACCTGTTAGCTCAACGGTGTCATCTCTGCTTAGTCCCATGATGTCTGTACATGCAGCTATCTGTTGGGCCACCAATGGCTTAGTGGGCGCCAAGAAGACCACTTTCCCTGAAAAATATAGTCATAGCAACCGAGCAACCCGCATAAACCATGAATAAATATGCTGTCAACTAGCTTGCAATAGTTTTCTTGCATTTATGATCAAGCATTCATACTATGACATCGGCAAAGATTCTCGCGGAAATTGTCCCGGTACGTAGATTCATATTTATTGAATCGCTGCCCAGAAAAAACATGGTAATCTACAGCGTCGTTCTTTTATTGTTCTCACCTCTTGGAAACCATCTGTGGTAGTTGTACATTACAACTGCAGCAATGAAAGTTTTTCCCAATCCCGTAGGTAGAACTACCATTGTGTTATGGAAGAGGGCGGTTTGCACTATTTCCAACTGGTAATCCCTCACTGGTAAGTTCACAGGATAAATCCACTCCATTCCTGCGGCCGAGTCAAACCCATCAGCTGAAAAGAAACAGAACTTTTTTCGCTCCCTAAATAAAACAAACACGAGTACTTATTTGTAAATCATATAATAATTCAACACGGAGGTGGCGCTGCACTTTGCAAACACAAGCGAAAAAACGGCAAGAAAAAGCTTAAAAAGAACAAAATAAGAAAAAAGCAACAAAAACAGCCAACAGACATTTGGAAAAAATTCAATGACGCAAAGAAACAGAAAAATATATGGCCTGAAAGCTCTTTGAATTTCAAGATCAATTTCTCATTGTCACTTTTTAGATCAACTCAATTTAAATAATTGGAGAGCAAATTTCGCCAATCATTTAGCAAATGAACTTGAATTGAACACAGAAAATTCATATATACCTAAGAGCATTCATAAATGCAATAATATGTATGAATGCACTTTCTGTAGCTATCAGAGCAATTTAAATCATCACGATCTGTATAATTTTAAACCATACCTCAATCCTTGGATAGCCAGGTTTTCAAGTCGATTGCCCTACTCAACTGTGCCACGGACGCATACACAAACCAAGCACTAGTCACTGATAAATTGGATAATACATGCTATTTAACTGTCAATGCAATGCAACAAAAGGCCCACCAACTGAGCACTTTATTGGCGAGTTGGATTAGAAAAAAGAGAACTTCGTCATATGACACTACGCTCGATAGCTGGCTGGTGTAACTATCGTGGCTAGTTCCTTCAGGTTTTTCAGTATGCACAACAAAGTGCACAAAAGAACCCGATCTGAACAAGCAGTTGTAATCGTAGGCCGTTAGAAAAAACTTATTATACAACAAAAGACAGAACACTTTTTCGGTCTGTTTTTAAACATAAAATCTCATCAAAAATTCATGAGCAATTCGAGAAAAAAAAAGAAAAATAGCTTGAAAATTTTCAATTTTACAAATTTTATCGCCTAAAATAGTACATCCCCAAAAAAATTTTACTTCTCCTAATATCATTAAAAATTGACTTGCATTAAGTGACATACCTTTGATTTATGTAACTACTTATCACGAGTGTAAAAGAACCAGCCGAAGTATAAAGCGAGCGAAAATGAGCTGAGTATATATTACAGCCGAAAAATTACATGATGTGAATGAAATTTGCAAACCTTTCGCAACTGTTACACAATTGTTACATAACTATTATATAGCACTTACATATTTTCGCCTGGTTGATACTTCGGCTGGTTTGTATACCACCACTTACCACACCGCTTTGAATCGCTTTCTAGCTTCTCCAATTCCAAGGCAGCTATTAACAAGTCATCGTCGTTCAGTTGGTCATCGACCTCGTGCATTTGCTCATCACATACTTGGTCCAGCATTCGAACTGGATCATAATTAACCAATTCGACAGCGGAATCATGCGCAAAGAACTCGCGATTCGCTGCTGTTTTCGGACGACTTGATACAACCGGCTCGACTCTCGCAACTTGGGCAGGAACTACACGGTCTTTACCCCGTCCTTTTCCAAAACTAACAGCACCAGTTGAGCTCTGACCTTGACCTCGTTTCTGGATCTTAGCTCTTTTAGCAGAAGATCCTGAAAATGCTGAAGGATTTTTCGAACTTGAAGGCTTGGACGTCTTTTTCGACGTTGAAGATCCTGATGATGTTGAGTCAGTTTTCTTCCGCTTTCCCCACTGCTTGAAAAGCGTGCTCTGCTTCATGGTTAGTCAAACATCGAAACCAAATCTGAATTGTAGGCTGAAATTTACCTACCGTTTCAACAAGCTGTAAGACCATTCTTTTAAAAAACTTTTAAAACTTACTATTCAGCCTATAAATATCTATCTATATGTAATAATTTCCATACAATGCAGTGTGTAAATGATAACATTACCTCTTTGAGCCTATCCACAAAACAATTAATTTTTAAGTTTCTATGAGAAAAATTCTATAGCCAAGTTAACTTCTATGTTCTATCAAGACGAGTTTTAAATGTTTTGTCGCTTCTATGACTGTCCAAAAGTTTCCTATCAAATTGTGGAATGCACACTTTCTTCAACCGCAGCCTTCGCTAGGAAATCGGTGAACCGGTGCACCTTCATATAATGACCTTTCAAAGCCGTTTTGTCCTTCATACATGTATCACATTGCGAGCACTGAATTTTTGGCACATTTTCTTCATGTTTCAAACTATGCCTCTTAATGTTGCTGCTTTTATTTGACCGATATGCGCAAACCTTGCACAGAAACAATCTGCCTTCAGCCGAAGTAACTTCCTGCCATGTTTGATTAAACACCGCAGTGCTAGCATTTAACGGTGACGAAATCGTTTCAGCTGAAAACTTTCCGAGAGCAGCAGCAGCTTGAATCGGCTGCATTTTAGGCTTCTTAGGAATCGTTAGAAGACTTTTAACCCCCTGACTTCCCACAAATTCCCGCTTAAGAGCTGAGTTCATCATCTTTACTTTTTCAGATAAATTTGTTTCAGAAGTTGACATCAGCAACATAGAGCCGCAGTTAAGCCCAGTTGCAGAATGCGCAATTGAAAATAATTCCGGAATTTCTTTCAGAAAACTTAGGGTATCGTGCGATAAATTCACAGTAGCGGAAACCATAACTTCGCAACTCATTTTCTAAAACTCTTCAGATCTTCATTTATTCATTATGTTCAATTGAAACTCAATTCATTTAGTTTTCGAATTTTTCAGGTTTTCTATTTGTACATTTGAAAATTTTAACCACTTTTCAGTATAACTTAAGCTGCCGAAAAAGGAGCAATATCGTATAACTCACCCAGACAGCTCGCAAAATCTAATTGAAACCGAACCTTTGAACCAACGATTCGCACTTAAGTACATGACCAAATTAAACCGCGCTGACGCTCGAAAAAAAGTGGCGGATTTCCAGTAAATGGACGTTTGCCGCGCATAGACAGAATTTCAAAGTTCAATTTCCTTTGAATAAGTCGATGCAAATCAAATAACGAATAACGGTAATAAAAATTTCGTGAAACCAAATTACAACACAGAGGCGAGCGGCTATGGCCTTGTGGGTCAGGCATGGGTCTCCCAGCATGAAGGTAGTATGTTCGATCCCGTTTTTGAGGGGTCCCAGTGTCGCCCACCTTCAAGGTGGGATCAGCTACCGCGAAATGAATAACAATCCCCTCCCCCAAGGTTGACCCTGCAACTCCCTAGGACCTGTGGTTAAAAAACAAAACAACAAAAGCGAAGCAGAGCTTCAAACTATTTGCGATACAACACTAAAAAAGCATGGAAATTAGCCGAAATTCATTGCATTGAGAAATTTGGAAATATTTAGTCGAAAATAAACAACTACCAAAAATTCGATAAGTTTGATTCAAGTCAGCGCAATTCGAGGAAAACCTGCTGAGAAACACATTTTCCAGCGTTTAATTAGCTTTGAAACAAACATTAACCAGCGGCAACAAAAAAAACGATATGCGCAGACAACCGTTCAGCCAAAAAACATTCAAAACTTTGAGCTATAAAAATTATTCGAACTTTTTTTCGTAAAGAAACAAACAAAAATTTTTTCGCCCTTCAAAAGACGTATCATGAGGCCACTTTCGAAAAGAAGTTTGAAAGAAATTACACGAAACCATTAAAGGTAAAATTATTAAATATAAGAGTATCTTTCGATACAATATTAGAATGCTGCAGACAAGAAGCGAAAAAGAGCCACGAATTCAAAAAAAAATCAAAAGATTTCAAATTAACCACATCTACAAAAGTCAGAAAATACAAAGAATAGAAAAATTTTTTGCTTTCGAAGAACAAAAAATTAGGTCACTAAGCCAATAAACCATGAACCGAAACCATTTAAGCCGACTTCAGCTTTCAAGCAAAAAAAATTAATTTCAAAATTTACTAATTTGGCTGATTTTTTTTGCTTAAAAGCTATAAGTCGGCCTAAATGTTTTCAGTTTATGGTTTATTGGCTCATCATACGTTTATTAAAAGTCGAAAATAAGTAAAACTCCCAAATGATACAAATTAACATGAACCGCTTTCAATTGCAATGAAAAACCACTCACAGCACAAGAGATATTGCATGCTTATGGCAAGTGTAAAAAATACAGTATGACACTCAAAAGTATCAATAAAATTTGCTAACATTATGAAATGGACTGAAAATAAAAAAATTTTGAAACAGTTTTCGAGTTATTTTTTTCACAGATGGAGGAGTTTCGAGATGATCGAAGAAGAGTTTGATTTGAAACTATCGAAATTTTGAAACACGTATGAATTATTAGACACAGAGCGAAGCCGAGCTTCAGATCACTTGCGATACAAAAATCAATCACTATGATTACCAGCAAATGAACAGATAATTCAAAAATTGAAAGAAAAAAAAACAAAAAAAAAATCGTTTTTTTTTTGTCAAAAAATTAACAAAAACTGCAAAAAAGAACGAAGAATATAACTCAATTACTTGCCCAAAACCGGAATACACTGAAATATTTTTTAAGTTGAGCTTAAAACACGGAATACACTGAGATGTTTTTTTTTTCAATTTGAGTAAACGATGCCTAATTTTAGGCAAAATAGGTACTGCTGCAACTAAACCGACAAAGCTGCTGACAAATCATTTTTGACGCGCTGTAAATGCAAACCATTGACCTTTGTCTTGGTTTGTGCGTGAGCTCTTCGCCACATACGCGCACTAACATCTGACTGTTGATTTCACATGAACCACGGAAGAATTCTAGCACCCAACTTCAATTGCAATTATCGTAAGCCTTGTTTATATCAGAAAAGTCTTTGCTTAGGAAAGCAAGCCGATATAAAACAATAAGACAAAAGGTAGTCAGATAACTGAGTGTAATCGAGAAAAAAAAACTACGCAGTGGCGTCCGTCCGAAATCGAATATAATTTTCTATTGGGGGACAAGCAAAATCTAGACTTGCCAGTTCAGTTTTAATCATAACTAGAGCTGTAAAAAAAGTGTTCACTGAAATTAAAAGTCGAGATCTTGAACACGAGACCTTTGCTATTGTGAGTATAAATATCGTGATCAAATTTTTCAATGAAAGAACGAATAATCTATCAAGCAAAACTAGTTTATTAATGATTTGTTTGAAATGACTTTTTTGACTGTTCGAACGCAATAATGAAAGTAAAAGACTGAGCTCACGAAAAAATATCGCCCATAACCTAAAAAATATTTTAAATTGAATACTATTCGGTTGCTAATAGAACTGACGGTCTTCCGAATTACAGCACACAGAGGCGAAGATGCACTTCGCATACACAAGCAAAAATATGACCGATAAACTACTGGGAAAAACTGAATTTAAGTGACGCACGCCAATGATGAGTCTACATAATTGCTAAGTGATGCAAGCCAATTATAACGCATTAGCACTAACAGTCAATTAAAACAGAAATTTACCAAGTACCTTGCCTCAATTTATCGAGGGGACGCAGTTGAACAAGTATACGACAAAATTCATTTAAAACATCCGACCCTGCCCAGGTTTGAACCCACTTTTTTGTTGTGGGTCGCCTTATCTACCTCTACGCTAGAGATCCATGATACAATGAACAATTTAGATGCATGATACATTGAACAGATCGATGAATTCTAGAACAATTTGCCCACTTTGAAGGAACTGGGTCATTAGGGAAAATAAGTTTGTCAAGAACTACGCTGAAACTACTTTGTTAAATCCCAAAAAATGTGCGCAACTTGTTTATAATTTGTTTTAGCAAAGATTTGGTTTTCATATAGTAGAAATCACATTTCTTGTCTAACAAGCAAAAATAATTGCTTTTACACAGGTTTTTGGATATTAAATCCTTCAAGAAATTTGTTGGGCTGTGTAAGAGGCTTCGTGTGATATAATTTTCTCATCTATTAACAAATAAGTATCAACGGAATTCTTAATTAATTGAAAAAAAGTCAAAATGGCCCAGTCAAAAATTGACTATTATATTTCTGGTGAAATTCTAAGCAACTCTTATTTATCACTTTTTTCTTACCTTGACCCAATTTGAGAAAAATGCGTTTTGTTCGTTTTGTCCGGATAATTTGAAAACATAATCACGACCTAAATAAGAGTCTGCATATAATGGAAGGTACAGAAGCTACACAGCTCTTGCGTTTGAACAACGATATAAAAAAGCTTTAATATTCAAATTCAATTAAAACTCGAAACTATCTCCAAAACGAGAAGCTATCGACAAGCAATCAACTATTTCGTTGCTGCTAAAGTTCAAATAAATTAATCAAATCACTAGGCATTATCAATACCTCGACTGTACAAATACAGCTGCTAAGCAAACACAACGATCAACGTAGTAAGTAGTACTTCAACATTAAGCATCAAATGGATAACGAAACTTTCAACACTATTGCACACAAGGTCAAGCTTGGATCACAAAATAGAACAAGAAAAACTAGTATGTTTAAGCTGAAGCTACAGGTGCGGATTTATTTTCACTGTCGACTCCGTTGGTTTGGGCGTCTCCATTGGGCATCTCGTCCATCTTCGCCTTCTTGGAGGGGATCGAGTCAGAATCGGAGGTAGGGTCTGCTTTTCGCTTCGTTGCTGCGTCGTCTTCGTCCTTGGAATAGAAAACTGTCATTGACTTGAGACTCAACCTCACCCTCCCCTCCTGCTCAAAAAAATCGCCCTCGCAAATAGCTTAGTCACCCCACAATTTTTTTTATAAGGCCAACAGAGGAACTAAGAACTTCTGGATATTACAGGAGACCTTTCAGTTACTATTACACTTATTTAGAGACATTTAGGAGTCTGTGCACATTTTACATTACATAAGAGTACTTAAATTGCTAGAAACCGAAACAAAAAATTAGCAGTTGAGCTGGATTTTTCCACTGGTGAGTGATCGCGGCAAAGTAGTAAAGACAGAGTCCTCATTTGATAATTCAACTAATACATGCAGATGCGATCCCAGCCAAACAAAAAACATAATGAATACTGTCAGTTTTTAATTTTCTGTACGGTTAATAGTTAATTAGTCTTCTTAATTAATAGTATCTAGAAATTGCATTTAAAAATGGAAGTCTACCTTTTCCATATGCGTGCTGCCAGTGTTTGAGTTGTTAGTTTCGGCGACAGCTGGCTGGGGCTGTTTCTCCTTCAGGGGACTTTTCCTCTTCACCAGATGGTTGATGCTCTTCGCAGGTCCACTGGCCACACCTGCCGATTCACTCATCTCAGCCGCTTCTTTCTCCTCCACCTAAAACAAATCAGATAAATGATCCTTGAGTTAACTATCTGAAGTTCTAAACACATCTAAATCAGATTTACTGACTACTCATTCCAAATGCTCCAGAGCTAAAAACTTCCATCACGTTGATAACTTGATAAAATCCTTGGCTATATGCACCTGTCTTGGCTATCTAGTCTGTACAAAATAGTCCCATACGAAACAGTCCCACCCAATAGATTTTTTTTAATCCATTCAAAAAGAAACAGGTTGTTCAAGCTGTTTCATTTGCGAACACTTAATAACGAAACTTGCTAACTATCGATGGAAATCATACTTACAAATAAAAATTCTTGAGTTACTGATTTCTGAAGGGATGCTTTAATTAAACACCGACCACTGGCAAACAACTCCCTTTCCTGGCACAAAGTAATGGCCGTGTGCGTACAAAAGAATACTCCGTTACAATCGTTAAAGATCACTGCCACTTCCCCGATCCAGCTGACATCGAAAAAACGTAAGTTCAGAAAAACACTTAAAGATTGAGCAGTAGTATCTGATGTAACACCGAGGCGACTATTTCGCAGCCCAACGTGATGTGAACCGAGAAACAGCTGTTTTACCTAGTTAGTCTGCAAATCAGCAAGCTGTAAATAGAGTTCGACGCGAACAAAGACCGAAGATGGCAGAGCCAACTTCGCTGACTGGCTTTGAATTACCACTGGCTCTTCAGAAAACTCAAGACGGAGAGCAGCTCCTGCTTCATGATTCTAGTCCCTAAGATGAAAATCGGGCTATTGTGTTCTCCACGTTACCTGGGTTAGACCTACTATCTTTATCAGATGATTCGTACTGTTTTCGACTGCTCCCCTTGTATTCTATCAATTTAATACAATACAAGCTTCTGTTGAAGGATGCCTTATTCCTAATCTTTACGCTCTGCTACCCAACAAAAAGGAATCAACTTAATGTCGCACAGTTGATTCCCCAAAACGCGCTACAATTGATTTCGAAGTAGCTGTGCGAAACTCAATAGCTAGCCATCAGAGTGCTCAAACTCAAGTGATGTTTTTTCCATATGAGTCAAGCGTCTGGCGACATGTTCAATCGTCAGGCGATACTCACAATTACCTTAACTTTCGCGAACTTCTTCAAATGCTTCTCGCAACAGCATTTCTGCCCGTAGCAGACGTTCCCAATGCTTTCGAGCTTCTGCAAGGTATGGCATCTGAAGAAAGTCAACCGATTTTCAAGTATTCCGAGGACATATATTGGTAGGCTGACTTCAAGGACGACCGAAGCCCAGATTTGACATGGAGCAATGGAGTTGCCATCAAGAGTAAAAACGACCTTTCCCTCACTAACAACGCTGTAAAAGGTTGGAACAGCAATTTCGTGAAACTGGTCAACAGTAAGCATCCCTCATTTCCAAAACTGATCGAGAATTTCCAGGACAAGCAAAAGAATAAGGAATTACTGTTAGAAAAAATGCGCGCAGGACAAAAAAGTAGCCAGACCCAAAAAGGCTAAATACCAAAAACTCGACAAAAACTTAATCACTATGATTAGGTCATATCAACCCAGCGATATCCTTGCGTTTTCGAAAGGATGTAGTTAGAATATTCAATTAAAATCAGAAGTTTCTTTTGTTTTCAATTTTCACATTTATTCCACATTGGAAAATTTTTTTATTGCTTGGTAAATTCAATTATTTTCCTTGATTTTTCAAAATTGAGCAGCAGTTAATTTGAAACCGGCAAAATAATGAATACATACAAGGTGTTGATTTTTCTTCCGTCTTATCAGCTAGAAACGAAATGATCTGTGACTCACCTGTCGCATGGCTTCCTGCAGAGCAGACTTTTCCGTTGTGACGTCACTGGCCACATCTCCCTCTCCAGCAGCTTCTGATGTCGTCATCTTCGCACTGCACAGCTTCGCATCCTGGAGCTTTTCTTCCATATTGGGAAGGATATCCTACAAAAACATCAACTTTCAGCCCTGCTCATCAAAATCTGATCAAATCAATTGATCCTTATTTCATTCCACAATGCGTTGATTCCAATGTTCTCAGCTTATTATCTTTAATTACACCATTCTCCCGTCTTTTCTACACTTCCCTTTCTTGCAATGTCGTCACTGTTCATTTCACTAAGTGGTGGCGATAACAGTTCGTATACTTCCAAATTGACCTTAAGAATCGAACATAATTTCTTACTATCATTGAGTTGACAAGACATATTCATATCCCTTCTTTTCTTGTTACCTGAAGCTGCTTCAGCTCGTCGTTCATGGCGGACTTCTGCTTGGTCACTTCCTCTGACTCTCCCTTCAACTCTTGCAGCTTCATCTCAGTCGAGGCCATTAGCTTCTTGATCACCGAGATAGCCGCCTCGAAATTATTCACAGCATTCGTGTAGTTCTTTCCGTTCGTCAAATTAACACCCGCCATAAAGTAGGCTTCGGCGAGAGATCTTTCGAAAAAACTCTTTTCTTTGTCGTTCGAAGAGTCCTTGCCGATGTTGGCAATTGCAGCCAGGTACACTTCTATGCACTTTTTGAACTCCACTTCAGCGTCAGTATGGTGACTAGACTCCATCAGATTCTCACCCAATTTGAGAAAGCATTGGGCTAACAAGTCGGTCCTTCCTTCAATCTGAACAAAGAGCTCTATCAACATTGCTCCAAGTTTTTGAGATCCTATAACTCTCCCCTTTTTTATATTCACCTTCCCAAAAATCCATTCCTCAAACTTCCAAAACTTCGCCGAATTATCATTAACGATAATTTTTAGACGATAACGAAGAATTGAGCAATCATTCTTTGTTAGTCGTTAAAAAATTTGCCGATTTCAAATATCCGTTAATTCGAAAAACAACCATCCACTGTCTCGGGTTTGATATATATTCGATGCTTGACAATGATAACCGATTTGTATTTACATGTATGGACAAATCGATTATCATTGAACCAGGAAAAAGATAAGACACCTCTTGGTCCGTGGCTGCCTCGAACAGTTTCCTGGCCCAGTCCAACATCTGCCACGAGAGCTTCAGACTGTCGTCGTCTTCATCATCATCATCTTCGTCATTCTGTTCCTCCTCAATATTCTCTTCGTCCATCACTGCATCTTCACCATCGGCTAAGATTAAGAAAAACTAAGAAACTGAAACGTTCAACCTAATTTAAGGGACAAATAAGCCAAAATAATTATCTAAGCCTTGATATCTATCTTTTTACAGAATGCCATCGCTTTGTAACATGTGAATTGTGTTCTGACGCTACAACTTCCACCCCAGAAGTTAACAACATCAACCTTTCTCTTGGTCGGCAGTTGTCTCTTCAGTGGTTTCTTCATCAACAGAAGCGTTCTCCTTATCCTCCTCGCCCTCTTTCGCTTCATTGTCTTCAGTCGTCGTTTTATCTTCATCCTTCTCTTCGGCTGTCATTGACTTATCATCCTCGGCTGTTTCGGTTTGTTCAATTTCGTCTTTTTCTTCGCCCTCAGCAGCCGCTTCTTCCATAGCCTCAGCTACCTAAAAAATCACCCTTTTATATTCAGTTAAAAATTGTACGTAAAGCAGCAATCTTACCATGCAAATCGTTTAGAACTTCTCCGCTGCTTTTCAATTCTAATGTTTTTGTTCAACAAAGTTTTGGCTTTTAGAGTTTATTACTCTTAGTTGTTAGGTGGAGAACTCCACACAAATGATAAAATTGATTCTGGATGGGTGGTAATGGGTGTGAATAATTACCTTTTCACGTACATCTTCTTTCTCCTGTTCCGTGAGGGAGTCTGGGTCTTCAACAACCACACCCTCCTCATTCTTACTACGGGCGTTGTCTTCAGTCACTTTGGGACCCTTCTGAGGAGTGTCGCCACTTGGGATACCCTACAACAAAATTATACTGTTGAACAAAATGCCCGTTGAATTTTGGCCTCAACAAATGCCCCATCGTATAAACTAGGGATTGCCAGAGAATAACTATATAATCACAGGTTAATTAGCATCGACCGTACTAGTGGCATTGAAAACTATATCAATTGTACTTGACTCTAGGTTCGCCTACAAGAGCACTAAAAAGCGCCACAAATACAAAAAAAAAATTGGTGTGACAGGTTGGGATTTAATTGCTCCAAAGCAATCATTTGTTATCGTTATCACGATGTACATGGGTCGTTAGATCGTGTATTCAATCTCCTGTCATGTCATGACAATGGTTGTGCTAGGACGTGCTCTCATTTGACCTCTATCTTCAGGTGTGCCTCAGCCAGCCCAATTTCCGCAGCAATAGTGGTACCACGTGATAACTCCTCGGATGCAAAAAGGGCGTGAGTAGCAAAAAAAAAGCTTCGTCCAGCATATTTTTTTTTTGTAATCCCGAATATTTTTGTTTTTGGAGTACTTGATTGCTATTAGCCTATGTGATATTAAAATATATCATTATGATAATGGTGCAGCGTTTTGAGACCCTACTGGGTCTGTTTGCCGTCCTCTCGGGGTTAAATTAAATTGCATAAAATACACAGAGAACTTGTTTTAACTCGTTAAAATCTCTTGTTGTCTTTCTTTTTAATAACTGCCTGGACTGTTGGGAAATCATAGCAGCGGACTATGTTTAGACAGGCTGTACAGAATTTTATAGATACAATTGTTATTTTTTGGACAAGCATGGGATCTATTTTACTGAGTGAAGCTTTTAACAGCCCAAAACAGACTGACTTTCCACCTTTCAGATTATTTTAAGGCTACTATCATCTTTTAGCATTAAAGATTCCTCCATAAAGTTGAGCCCAAAAGTTCACCTACCTGCAAAGCATTTCCGAGCACGTCGTTTTCTACTCTTGCCAATTCCATCAGGGCATTTCCATACCAGAAGTAACCCTTCGCACACTTCACATTACCTTCTCCAAACACCTTGTCAAACTGGGCACATGCCTCCGACAATGTCGCCACCGCCTGCGTCGGATTGTCGCAGAACAGATCACGCTTTCCTTTTGTCAACAACTCCGTCGCACTTTCAACCGTAGCCAATTCTTCAACTTTGGCTTCTGATGCGTTCTTGGAATCTTCCGTCTTTTCAGACCCGTTCACGTGGTCTCCGTTTTCAGTGAGCGTTCCATTGTCAGGTTTCTTTTCGGCAACTGTAGCCGAGATTTCGGTGGTCTTGGATTCCACTGGTTTGCCACTGGGAGAAGCTGCAGTTACTGTAACTTCAGGAGCATTGACCATTTTGACTCACAATTTGATTAAAAATTTGGGTAATTGCGATTAAAATTATTAATTTAGTTAAAATTGAGCTCAGAACTGATGTGAATAATGCGAATTGAGTTTGTTTCCAGAAGATGAGAGAGTGGCACAGTAGAATCTGAAATGATTGACCTTGACCTTCAAACTCCTACTTGTCTGCTCTGGCAATAATTACTTCCGTTAGCATTGAGGTCAAACTGAGCTCAAAATCTGAGCTTGCAACAAAATATTTAAAAATTGGACTTGAAGAGTGTCGATAAAATTCAGCTACTAATTCAGGTATTCTAACCGCGTGCAGAATTCGCTTCCATCTGCGCAAATTTTTGACATTTAATAGTTTTTGATATCCAAAAGTCTTATTACTAAGGTATTTCAGCCAAATTTTATTGCCTAACTGTTCAAGAAAAGAAGCTAAACCTCAGCTATTGTGAGAAGCCTAACCACAGCAATTGTAAAAAAAAAACAAAAGGATTCGAACATTTACAATTGTTTCCAGGAATCGGAAAAACTCAAATAATTGAAGCTAATTGGCGAGGAAAAATTGATTGAAGTGCAGGTTTGATAATTAAGAATAAATACATATGTTTTCACACCAGCTACGAAAATGAAATCAATAATCGGAGAAATAAACGCATTGAAAATAAGCACCGTATCTAAATTAGTACTGAAGGAGTGATTAGGATCGAACCAAGGACGGATTTTAATATCTTCGGGAGAATAGTGATTATATCGTTCAACTTGGCTGCAGAGTAGTCCGTAAGATTTGCTGACAATCTTAACAGCTCTAACATTCTGCTGATTGCTGGGGTCTATTCAAGTATAATTGCTTCAGAAATAAAAAAAACTGAACTCTCCGCCCTCATCTAGAAATCCGTCCTTATAATTTTGCATTTACAAACTAAAGCTGTGTTTCTAATAAATAAGCAAGGAGAATTGTTTTGTGTTTTCAAGGTGGCGAATAGAAGAATGTATCCTTCAAACAAATTAGTGTTTTTGACAACCTTCTACTCATGGATCGAGAATATTCGAGAAGATTCTACGCTCCATCAAACTATACATAAACTTCCAAAATATAGGATTCAGCTCAAAGAATGAGATCTTCGCATTGACCACATGTTCATTTATTCAAGACGGCAGCCCCGATTCCTCCTTCATGGCAAATCATACTAGTCGTAAACTCCCACGTATTCGATTCCGGGTTGTACACCTCCACCGAACTCAGATTCGAAGTTCCGTCGAAACCTCCGAGGGCATACAGTCTGCCTCCATTGGCCACTACACTTACGCGGCTCCTGGCACACTGCATGGGTGCAATGGGGGACCATGCATTGGGATACTGGTCGTACACTTCACAGGATGACAGGAATTTGCTTCCGTCGTAGCCTCCACACACGTAGATTCTCCCGTTCAGAACTGCCGCTCCTTAAACACAATCACTATCTGAGTTTTGAAAAGCCATAAAAGAGAAATTCCTATCATTTTTTGTATGCCTGTTATTTGAACGAGATAGATTTAAAAAATCATACCAGACAACTCGCGTGCAAACTATATGTAATTTTAAAATTGTTTTATTGAAAGTATGGCTTCGAGATTAAATCAATGGTCATTGTCCAAAATGAGCAAAAATTTAATATTTATGGGGAACATTGCATTTAACAGTAAGATTACGGAAAACTAGATAATTGCAAGCCATGAAAGGTATTGGAAATTTCACAAGGAAACAAAATTGATTGTCCACAGCTACCTAAATTCTTTCCGCATCTTCCACAAGGATTCATTGTTTTGCGAATACTTCTTTAATTTTGTCGCATGAACTAACCGTGTCTACACCTCTTGGACATCATAGGAGCAACCATAACCCAGTCCTGGCTCTCAGCGTCGAACATCTCCACGCTCTTGAAGATGCTCAGTCCATCGTGGCCTCCGATTGCAAACAGATACCTGTCGTCCAGCACACAGCAGCCAGTCGCACTCCTCGCCTTCAACATTGGAGTCCCCACCCTCCAGCAGTCGTCCTCCAAAGGACTGTAGAGCTCGATCGTGTTCAATGATGCAATTCCTGTGATTACATGATAAAAGGATAGTAAATTATAAAAGGATTCAAACGCAGAGGCGAAGCTGCACTTCGCAAACAAAAGCGGAAAACGGCAAAAATAAGCTCTAAAATTTTTTTAGCATCTATCGGAATCGACGCTTCTCTGATCTGAAGATTGAAAGTCCAACGTCCTCTCCTCACATCTCCACCAAAAATCCGTGTCGAATCGAACACCTAATACATAGCCAATGCTATGCCGCAAAACTTCACAAAAGTTAACACATTTCATGCGAGCTCCCATAGAAAAAAAAGCGAACTCGTAAGATAACACAACGCTCGCTAGTTCGCGTGTTCAATCCAGAACATATTTAAAAAAAAAACCAAATCCATCTTAAAATTTGTCATCTTCATAAAAATAATCGCAGTTCAGTTGTAACAAATACAAAAATTATTCTCTATAACATTAACCATTGTATCCGCCACACACGATGATAGTGTCCTTCACCACCACCGCACTCAGCACACTTCTCTTGGTGTTCAGACTCGGACACATTTCCCAACATCCCCCCGAAATGGGAACCCCTCCTCCCTCCACTAGAGGAGAATACCTCTCGACACTGTCCAGTCGGCGACACCCGTCGTACCCTCCGATGGCGTAGAGACTGTTGTTATGGACTGCCACGCCAAGACGACTGCGGGGTAGTTTGGTGGGCACACCCGGCATCCATTTCTGCAAAAAAATTCATTGTCATCAAAACAAACAATCAATTTGCATTCTATCAGCAATCAGGTCTGTTTATTAAGCCAATCATGGTGAGCATCGATGAAATTTGAAACGAAAACTTGATCTTTGTCTTTGCGCATTTCCCAAAAGTCACCATAATATCAAATTCTCGGAAAATTTTTGCGATGTTAATAACATTTCCCTCCATAGCAATCAGTCATCTCCATGGCATCCTAGTAGTCCTTGAAACTTCATTCATACCGTGGGAATTTTTCATTTACTCGCCTCATTTAAACAGTCGAAATGTTCGACGAAATTGACAGAATCCCCTGCCGAGGTGAGTCCCCCGATGACATACACGTGACCCACTAGTTCCCGGCAACATCTGCCTCTCAGCTTCACTGGGTCTATGGCAGCCCTTCTGTCTGGGATAAGGTAGAAGTCCTTAGCCTCGTCCACCAGATCTCGACAGTCGTGGGAGGACTTGATGAGGTCATTGCAGGATACCACGTCACTGTAATCGTTAAAAATTATTTATTTGAATCATATTAAAACAGCTATTTTGCAACCTGGAAACGAATATTCACTAGTCAAGCAATTCTTGTGTGCTTTTAGATGGATTAGCAACATCGTTACAAACCGTTTCTTTTTGATACCTTCTTTTTGCGAGATTTTCAATGACATTTTATTCAAAATGTTGTGATTAACTTATTAAATAGTGTTTCCAGATCAATGAATTGCTGAGCGCGCCGGGGTGCGCTCCAAATTATCATCGACAACAGAACTACAAACGATTATATCATTTTGGAACTGGAAGTTATCGACTATGCCAAACAAGAAAAAGACACCGAAATATTCATGTGGCTCTTGTGGTGATGAGTGCAATTTGAATACCTTACAATGTTCAGGGTGCTTCAAGTGGTTTCATCAACTGTGTTCAGGGGTTCCAGCCCCGGTTGTAACTTATCTCGGTAGTGTCAAAGGACTCATGTGGAGATGTGAACCATGCATCATAGAATCACATAACCGAAACAACGAAGCACCATTACTGTTTCAGAAAAAATTCGAAGAAATATCCAAGCAACTGAACGAAGTCAAAGATCAACTCACGGAAATGAAAACTGAAAAAGAAACTGTTGTGACCCCAAACAATGTTGTTCAACAATCTATGTCTGAAGTCACAAAAAAAAACCATCAGAGTGAGCGGCTTGCCTGAGAGCTCTGAAGACAACGTTTACAAACGGAAAACTGACGACATCAAAAAAGTCAAAAACATAGCATTGAAATTGGGTTTCGAAGAACTTAGAATAAATGGTGTTATTCGAGCAGGTAAATACGACCCGGATAAAGACAGAACACTAATTGTGGAATTAACGTCAAGAACAGATGCCGAATTACTTGTATCCAAAGCAATTCTGGATAAGTTTGGAACGAAAAATAATGTTTACATTTCCCCTGATCTAACCCGCGAAGAACGTCTTGAAGAAAGAAAAGTCCTCAAAAAAAGACGAGAACTAATAAATACTGGAACAGACAAAAATTCCATCAAAATCCGTAATCTCAAATTACTTGTTGATGGGGTTGTTGTCCCTGTCTGACTAGCACGTCCTCCGGCTCCGTCTGTTTTATTAATAAATGCAAGATCATTGAAAAAAGAAAATGGAATATCTAGCCTCATATTGGATCTCAATCAACTGAAACCTGATTTATGTTTAATTACCGAAACTTGGCTAAATGACTCTATTTTATCGGACTCACTGAATATAAAAGGTTATGATCTTTTCAGATCTGACAGAAACTTCAATGCTACTTCCAAAACTAGAGCTGGGGGTGTGTGTATTTACGCATTAAAATCATTACAAACTGAATGTATATTGTTTGAAGACTCTTCGCATCAATCATTTTCGGAAACTTTATGGCTCAACTGTGTACTGAATGAACGAAACTTTTTTGTTGGCTGTATTTATTACCCGCCTGACTCAAACTGTGACATACAACTCGCAGAATATATACTGGATAAAAGAGAAATAGTACTTAGAAAAAATCCAGCCTGCACATTTCTCGTTGCTGGAGATTTGAATAACTTCAACAGTGACCTCTTGACCGACTTTAGCGACCTTGTACAAATTAACAAAAATCCAACTCGGTTTGAAAAAATTCTGGACAAAGTTCTTTGCTCAAAACCAGAGCTTTACAAACCAACCAGCGTCATAAACTGCTATTTGTCGACAGATCACTTAGCGGTTTACTGTGAGCCCTTACAAGAAAAAACAGAAAGATACCACGCATCATTCAGAAAAGCAAGTTTTGCTAACAGAGAAGTATTTGGTATCACTTTGGACCGAGTAGATATGTCCCTTATTGATTACTCTTGCCCAGACTTAGCCTTTACCCAGTTAAATAACTTGTTACTTGAACTTCTAGATGTTACCTGTCCTATAAAAACTGTGCGTCTTTCAGCTAGAGACCCCAATTACATGACTCCTCTGCTGAAATCGCTTCAAGAAAAAGTACCGCATGAAGAAAAAAGACAGAATTTCAACCGAAGTAGAAAATGCTATCAAAATGGAGATAAAGAAGAATCTCACAAAAAGTAAACGTGGAACCAAATCTTGGTGGCAAGAAGTGAACTATTTAACAGGCCGAAAAAACTTAACTTCTACAGCAAACCACGAACCTGACGAGCTGAATCAATACTTTGCGGACATTTGTACTTCTACGGAGTATATTGAGCCGCATGTATGTAACGTATCAGGTTATGACTCCCCAGAGGTCTCACTACAGCAAATAAACTCCCAGCTCAAACGATTAAAACAAACTGCTACCGGACCCGACCAGATTCCGTATTGGGTCTGGAAGGAGAACGCTCATTCGCTTGCAGAACCAGTGTTAAAGATATTGAACTTGTCAATATTGCAAACCAAAGTCCCCTCACTCCTGAAAACTGCAAAAATAGTTCCGATCGCCAAATGCAAAGCCCCTATGGGCCCTGAGGACTATCGACCCATCTCAATCACCCCAGTAATCTCTCGGTTCTTCGAAAGAATTATTATGAAAAACTTCATCTCAGCACAGTACAACAGCTGGTTACCTAAAAACCAACACGGTTTCAGAAATTCAGCGTCTTCCACAACGGCTATGATTTGTCTTCAGCAAGAAATTGCTTCTTTTCAGAAAAGTAAAGCTGATTATATACAGATACTATCAATAGACCTTAGTAAAGCATTTGATAGAGCCCAGCATTCAATTGTAATTGATAAGCTACAATCAGTTAGACCGGAAATCAATCCATTCATAATCAATTGGATCGCAAATTTTCTTCAGGACAGAAAAATTTTCACGGAAAGTAATTCTCAGCGTTCGAACTTGCTATGCATTAACCAAGGTGTTCCTCAGGGAACAGTTCTTGGCCCGCCGCTTTTCAACACAGTAAGCTATGATTTGGAGAGTACAAACAGTGCTAGAATTATAAAGTTTGCGGACGATGCAAACTCTGTGATAGCGGGGTTCGGCTCGGACGAAAACACGATGAAAGTTTTGGAGGAAATTAAAACTTGGTGCTCCACAAATAACTTCATACTCAACGAGGGAAAAACAAAACTGATGACTGTCAAACCGAATGACATTAGTTTAGTACCACAAGCTTTTGATGGTATTGAGCAAGTGGAAGAGCTTAAAATTCTCGGAGTATTATTTGATAGCAGGCTTACGTTTTCATCGCACATCAAAAGTTTATGCAAAAAAGTAACCAGCAGTATATACCTTTTGTATAGACTAAAGACATTTGGTATGAACATCTCTGCCCTTGATATTTTATACAAAATTTTGGTGCGTAAGAGTAAAATTACTTACGCATTACCGGTATGGGCATGTGCCAATTCGACCGAATTGGCCGATGTGGACAAAGTTCAGCGCAGGGCTCTTAAACTTGGTGTTACTTCTACATTTACTCCAATTTTCGAGCTCATAGAGAACCATGACAACAAACTATTACAGTCAAGTTCAAAACAAGACCATATTCTTCATTCAAAATTGCCAAAACGAGAAACTTATGCAGAAAACAGACTTAGAGAAAAAGCAGTTGCAGCACACGAAAAATTAGAAAAACATTTCAAGCTTTTTCCAGCCAGAGCCTTAAGAAACAAAAACTTTCTATAAACTTTTGTTTGCTTTTGTTCTATCACGTGTAAGATAGATGTGTTTCTATCTTAATTTATTCTTTTCTTTTCTTTTCTTTTCAAAATCAAATACTCCTGGGACATGCATATATATATATTTAACTTTTTGCCGTATTCTCTCGTCAACTGTGCAGATATCACTGCTTGCTTGCAAACTAGCGACAGCTAGAGAATCTTGCGCAGCGATGGCCTTGAGAAGATGAGCTGCTGGTCGAGACAAATTTCGAAAGAGCTTTACCTCAGAAATGGTGGCCTCATTAAAGGGAATCGGATGCAGGCCATCAGCTGGGACACCAGGTGACTCCTCTTGTCTCTGTCGTGTTCAACCCACTTGATCACAGCCTCATAGACCACCTCCTCACTCGGCACATTCAGACCATCGTCACTGATCAACATATGCAGATCCTACAATACGGCCATATTTCAGTGCTCAAATTATGTCGAGGAGCTTAGTCAATCAGATAAATATAAGTCAATCACTAATATTTGAATTCGGTTTCTAACTTTCATTCGCTTTTGACTACAAAGTATTTCACAAGCAATACTTTACACTGGCAACTTACTTCAAACGATATGTTAAGATGGAAAGACGACTGAACAAAATCGGCAAAGTGTTTTCTGATGAATTTTTTCGTCTCGGCGTGCAAACCTTCACATAAAAACAGATCGGCAAATTTCAGAATATCGAAGCAGTTGTTGACGTGTATGTTGTTCTGCATGAACCTGCAGCACTCGTCTTTGATTGCAGTGAGTTGCAGGAAACAGGCACCTGTGACTAATGATTGCACGTTTGATAGTGTAATGAGTAGCTTGCCGTTGTACGCGAAGCTAAAACAACCAACTTAGGTTACCGACACAATCATTTTTTCTCTCAAACATGGGTAATCCAACAGCTAAAACTTAAAAACGAAAACAAGAGACAATAATTTCCACAGTATTACTGAACTATTCAGAGATATGGTAACAAAGAACTTGAAAGATATATTAAGATAAAATTTCATTCGTTACGTTCAACCGGCATCATGAACCAAAAGAGGAACCGTTAAGTTCATTAGGACACCCAGAATATTTTCTGCTTAGCCCCTACGTGCATTTTTCTAGCTTTTACGGGTTGTGAAATTTTACCTGCCTACCTGATATAGGTCTCCATTGCAATGGCGTCTATACTTCCCTCGTCTATCTGGATCTCCTGTTGGTCGTCCTCCGCCATGCCCAGAGTGAACATAGAGCGGAAGTAGGGAATACACGCTGCCAATACCAGTCTGAAATCAGTCTGCTTTGACTTTTAAAAATAACAAGACACGCAAGTGTGATAACAAGTTCTAATATTATCGAGATGCTACCAAAAATTTGATTTTAAAAAACTCCCTTTGTCCGTCTAACTTTTGATCTTTCTACTACACCAAGTTTCATTATTATCTCAGTATAGAACAAATTACAACTGAAGTCAGAACAACTTTCGAAATAACCAAAAAGGAATATGCAAAACTTTGCTTTTCTTACTTTTTCTCTTTTTGTCTTTCTATTTTATATTTAAAATAATCAGACGGTAGACAAGTTAATACACTCATCCTTCATTTCACCCAGTCAAAAACCCCTGGATTTTTACAAATTAGGAAAATGCGAAGAAACGTATAACGTAAAGGAAAGTAAAGAAAGTCGAGATGGTTGGGACTCCGTTCACGCAGTTGAGAAAACTAACACATGCATGCCAACAAATTAAAAATTTCTTGTTTTTGGTTGTAAGCGTGAAGAAAATTTTTGCTTATAACTTAGATTTCCTATGTCAGAAATCTTAAAAACGCAAACAAGAGGAAACAGGCACTAAACTAAGCAAAATTTCTTACCTGTGCGCGGAGAAGCGTCTTTCTCCTACTTTAATGATGACATCGCACAATTTGCCTTCTCTTCTCATCTCCTGCATTGCGCCTGCGAACCTAGATCCAAAGTTACTCTCCTCATATCTCAACGTCTCCTCCAAGTTGACCCCGTGCGACCTCGGAGATCGGCTGCACCGAAAAGACATGCCAGCATCTGAATTAAAAAGCCAATGATGAACAATGAAAAAATGCTTATTGTAAAAACTATTTATTGGTAAAATAAAAATGATATTGAGTAAGAGCGAAAGTTCAGATTTTGCAAGCTACGTGAAATCTGGAAAGAGGTAGCCACCATATCAACATGAACACAAGCCACAAAAAATATTTCAACGAAAAAATTAACGGACCATACGTCCAGTAAAAGATCATACGGCCGAAAACTTCAGTAAATAAATGGAATATGATACGAGATTTAAAAAAGTTAACCTATATGATATATACTTAATGACTATTTATGAATGACTATCTTATCAGTGGCAACAATATCTATCGGCGGTAAACTATCAAAAAATATATTGAAAAATGAATTCGAACTTTTTCGGAACTATGTCCGTCATCCCGTTAATAATAATGTAAACAAAATAAAATACATTCTTCAATCAAATTTAAGCATTATTACAAAAATTTTGTAAAAGCTACTTCTTAAACTTTTAAGATTTCCTTATTTTACTTACTGTCACCTTAATTTAATTTCCGATTTTCGATAGAAAAGTTTGTTTATTATTCTATTTTTGGACAAAACTCCTAATATGAGGCGCTTCCAACAAAAAGTGTTTCCTTGAGTTGCTTGAGTGCTCTTGTATCTCCCAACTCTACTGTGCAGTGGTCGCTAGCTCCCCAGACTGCCGCATTATATGCCTGCTAATAAGTACTCTTTCTTGTGATCCTCAATCCATTTGGCCAAATGTCGAAGTGTGCCCCACATCGGTACGCCCCCAACAACAACAAAACCATTTGTCGACCACAATCAATTTCAGTTCACGCGAAAGATTATGGCTTATGGAAGAAAAGACTGTATTTTAATTTGTGCCAGTCGGTCATATTTGGAAGTTTGACCTTGATATGAAAGTTTAACCTTGATTTTGGTGACAAGTAATTTTTCAAAAATTCGAATCGACCATGTCATGCTCAAGTTTCTCGCGACAACTGAAAGTCAGAAGTTAGGATCATCAAAAGATTCGAGAAACAAACGCGGGAAAATTGGCAGGAGTTACTAGAGTAAAATTGCTATACGCAATTTTACCGGAATATTCAGTACGAGCAGAGCTGCCTGGTTCCCGACAGATATCAGAAAGAAGTGCACTCGGAGAAACGGAGAGAAAACCTCGACTGGGAAGGTGGACAGCTGAAGCTGCCCAATTGTCCAGAGAATGAAACAACTTGAGTCTAACTTCAAACTTCTTCTAGACTTGTCTTATTCACGTTATTTACTTGAATCTAGAGTCTAATTTCGGTCGGAATCTAGATTCGGTTGCCTCATTTCTCATTTTATCCCTAATTGATGTTTCAAATTGTTTTGTCCAACTCTCTTGCTCATTTCATCGAATCGCTGGAAAAACCCAAACAAGAACAACTGATAAATGTGATATATGCCAAATTGAGAGTTTTTTGAATCACTGCAAGACCTACTCCGTTAAAAAGGCCATCAACTATATCAATCTCTATCAAATATTGATCGAAAATATAGTTCTGTGGCACGATCTCAAAAACAGCTCTCTGTGCTCCCATCAAATAATTGACGGTCCTCCATTCTCTGAAGGTGAACTATCTGCTGTTTTGGCAGTATGGCAAAACATCATTAGCAAATCCTCTCTATTTATCTAACTTCCAAATCCTGTTCAAACTTGAACTCTTTGTACCAGAGTCCAATTTAGATCTTAATACTATCTTTTTGATCTTGTGCTCATCTTTGATTCAAGGTTCAAGTGAAATTTAAAGTCTTAAAGTCTCTTTGTTCAAATCTTGGGTACTCTTAGAGTCATTGACTCTGAGTCCAAGAGAAATTTCACCTCTTTCAAGTCTATCTTGCTAAATTTGAGTACTATTTGAGTCTCTGACTATGAGTTTAAGGCCGATTTTCTTTGAAATTCAAAATTTGACTCTGGTTCCTCTGCTGTAGCATGAATATTTGGTGTTTATCATCTCGCTTGTCCTTGTCACTTGTTGCCCGAACTTACCTCCTAGTTGGTAAAAATTTGTAGTCTCATGGACTTATCCACCAAACATGACATTCCTGATTCATGTGTGCTATGTAGTATAAAACTTCATCAAACTGAAATGATAATTGGCTCATTCTACAATCCGCCAAAAAACAGTAATTACAGATACAAAGTGCATGAATTTGAACAACTGATCAAAGCCATTCCTAAAAACAAACCGTTTCTCTTATGTGGGGATTTAAATTTCCCAGAAACAAACTGGAACACCCTCACCAGTACTGACGAGGAAGAAAACCAAATACTGCAAATTTTTGAAAATGGACTCTTTAGGCAGGCGATAGATTTCCCAACATGTGTGAAGAACATACTAGACGTAGCCTTCTATCGGAATTGCTATACAAGTGCCGAACAAGATTTTAACGTTTCCAAGATTTATGACTGCTCAGATCACAATGCCATAATGTTGTCTATTGAATGCACGGTATCAGAGCCGAAACCATACTTGGAAAATTTTAGAAGTTTTGGAAATGCCGATTTTGAAGGAATAAACAATTTTATAAACGAGAACCCATTTGAACCAGTATGCCACACAAACATTAACAAAATGCATGAGGAGTACACCCAATATTTGGATGAAATCATTAAGAGTTTTGTGCCTCTCAGAACAAGACATAGGCAATCACTTCCACCTTGGATAACAAGTAGCACTTCAAATTTGATCAAAAAGTTACAAACAAAACGGCAATCATGTATACTCAAACCGACCAACTACAGAAGACAACAAGTTAAACTGTTTGAAAATTTAGTAACTGAATCATCGGAAGTGGACAGGAAAAACTACCAAGAGGAATTGTTTAGAACACGGAACACTAATGTAATTTTTAAACACCTAAAGAACTTGAATAAACATACAAGTCTTCCTAAGTTACTCATAAAAGATGAAGTTGAAAGCACAAATCCAAACGAACAAGTCAACATGCTAAACGACTTCTTTCATTCAGTTTTTAATCCTAAAGAAAGTTTTAGTATTAGAGATATTCAATTTGGAAATCCCTTGTTAACGAATTTTGATATATCGAAAAAGACAGTAAGTGAGATTTTATCAACTCTGGACGTAACAAAGTCACGCGGCCCAAATGGGTTGCCACCTAGCTTTTTTCAGAAAACGAACCGCAATATATGCAAACCGATGAACAAAATTTTGAGAAACGTAAAACGCCTACGAAAAATACCTGATTCATGGAAAACAGCTGCAGTTACTCCTGTTCACAAAAAAGGTGACCGAAAATTGGTGAACAACTATCGACCAGTATCGCTATTAAATATTGACAGCAAAGTCCTTGAAAAATGTATATACAAAGACCTGTACCCTTACTTTGCCTGGTATTTGACGAAACATCAACACGGTTTTACTAAAGGTAGATCAGTTTTGACAAACATGCTCTCCTTCCTGAAAGAAATATATGAAGCGCTTGACAATGACTCAAACGCAGAAATTGTAGCAGTCTACACTGACTTTGCAAAAGCCTTTGATAAAGTTCCGCATTTTGATCTACTCAAGAAAGTTGCACTTATAGGAATAGGAGGCTGCATGTTAGAGGTACTCTATGACTATTTGAAAAACAGGAAACAGTTTGTACGAGTAGACAATATCAGCTCAAAAGTTTTAGAAGTCACTAGTGGTGTTCCCCAAGGATCACTTTTAGGACCACTGCTCTTTTGCATTTTTATTAACGACCTACCTGAAGTACTCAAATTCTCTGAACCATATATTTTTGCGGATGATCTTAAACTACTTTCCATCAAAAAAACATCAATTGAAATTCAAGAAGATCTGGACAAAATTCAGCAGTGGGTAACTGAAAACAAAATGGAATTAGCACTAGATAAATGTGCAAAAGTAAGTTTTAGGGGCGGAGACGCCAACTCTATGCTTTTTGGTGTAGTGCTTGGAACATCGAAGGTTGTGAAAGATCTGGGAATTTTTGTGTCGGGCGATTTAAGTTGGAAGGTACACATTGAAACAAGATTAAAGAAGGCAAACCAAGTACTGTACCTCCTGAGAAGAAACCTATCAGCAAAGATAAATACGTTTGTAAAGTTAGGCCTGTATAAGTCACTAATACTCCCAGTGTTATTATACGGACTCTCATGTACACATATATCGAGGGGGGATCAATTGCAGTTGGAGCGATTTCAAAAGAAAGCAATCCGGTGGATCACTGGAAATAAAACGGGAGTGTACATCAACGAACTACGCTTGCTAAACATTTTACCCCTGCCCATGTTCATCCAGCTAAATAACATCTTACTTCTTGCCAGCCTTGATTCTAATGAACGAAATGAAATAGTGTTAAACAGGCGAACCACACGGGCTAGAAATATAGAAATTTTTGAGATGCGAAAAGTGAGAACGGAAAAAGCGAGAAACGAATTTGTTTTCAGAACCAGTAGGATTGTAAATCGATTAGAACCATATATTCATTTTGATAAACGAATCGGCCTCAAGACGAGAATTTTAAACACGATGTGGAAATTTGTAAACGAGAGATTTTCAGAAATGACAACGTGCACGTGGCAATTATTCTGTGATTGTATCACGTGCAGAAACAAGTGGACATTGTTTTAGAGAAGACGCCGGGACCAAGACTCCCAACAGCAGTGCTGTGAATCCCCAACAACAACAACAACAACAACAACATGTCTTACGAGAACCGAATTGGCTCCGACCGAATGAGGTATAAAAGCACAACAGACAGTGTCCCTGACCCTTGAGCCAATGGTTATAGGGCCTTTTTTTTTAACCCCACATGGGACATAAGTAGGCGACTGTTACAGTTTCCTGTTAAATACTCATTCGGCAATGGTTATGCTGCGCACCATCTTTGACAAAAATTGACTCTGGTTCCTCTGCTGTAGCATGAATATTTGGTGTTCATCATCTCGCTTGTCCTTACACTTGTTGCCCGAATTTACCTCCTATTTGGACAC